CAGATTGGGCTGCGGGTGGGGATGAAAGAGACTAGTGGTACAGGGTGGGAAGGGAGTTGGAAGGGGATGGATTAATCCACATTGTCTCTAGACCTCAAACTCTGTCATTCTGTGAATCTGTGATCTATGGGAAAGAGGAGGGCACACAGGAGAGTCACTTAGGTACTATTAATGATGTTTACATTATTTGAAAATTTAAATTCCTAGAGAAATGTACACTAGAGTGAAGACAGTTATGCTATTTGATTCATTATTGTTAACAAAGATTTAAAAATTTACATGGCACAGAGCCTGCACGGGGAGGTCAGGGTCAGCCCTCCATAAAAATCTCTCCTGTTTTTTACCATCATTTCAGAAAGTACACATTACAGAAAAGATGACAAAGTTGGTAAAACAGACTTCAGGAGCAGATTTATAGTTCTACTAAAAACAAGGATGAGCAGCAACTCATTGCCATTGTTAATTTTAATGCCTATCCCAAACCCCCAAATCAACTCATTGATCTGGCCTGACTTAATTTGCCAATTTCCAGTGAATTCCATAGGTTTTTAGAAAGGATTTAAAAGCCCCGCCCTAAGTTTGAGAAAGGTTATTATTTGTGATGGTGTATTGTATGCTGTGGCTCAGACGGTAAAGGATCTGCCTGTAATGCAGGATACCCAGGTTTGTTCAATCCCTGGGAGGGGAAGATCCTCTGGAGGAAGGCATGCCAATCCGCTCCAATATTCATGCCTGGAGAATTCCATGGACAGAGGAGCCTGGCAGGCTATGGTCCATAGGGTTGCAAAGAGTCGGACACAACTGAAGTGACTTAGCACACACTTCCTGTGCTGATTAACCACGAAATTCAGGAGAAATCATTTCCACCTCGGGTTTCTAAGTGCCTCTGTTCTTCATCTAAATCTTCTAAGATACATTTTGCACTCTTAGAATAAAGTACTTTATATGCTATAACACACCTTCTAGGTCACCAATTTAGTTATAACAAATTTTGACTAAATTGCCGTTCTATGCTGTGCTAAGAGACAAGGAAAAATGTATTCATCCAATTCTTGAACAGTTTCATTCCCCAAAGAAATTACAAGTTGTGTTTATTTTGGCAGCTTTGTCACAATCACAGTCTATCTCCCAGCCTGGTTATTACAGAAAATCCAACTCACAAACACTAGTAATGCAATTCCACTAAATGTGAAGCCCAGTTCAACCTCCCTGGGTCATAACCTCATGAATAAGAACTAAATGATTCATCCGAATATCTGAACTTCCACAGTTGTTTCCAGAGAACAGACTTTTGAGGTACTCACTGATTGAACCGCAAATGAAAAGACCTATTATATTGATGGTCTTTTTTACCCTGGTGACTTTTATTAGCATTTGGTCAGAAAGATCAGCTGTATTGGAAGATTATCCTGGTCTCACAGTTTAGTGGAATCATTGTGTTAGTGTTAAACAGTACATTAAGCCCTTCAGAGCTGCCAAGAACTAATCGATGTCTGTTGAGACCCTATGTATCCAAGGCATTTTCTAGGCACCATGAGGGCACATAGTAGAAGATATTATGACTGACCCTGAGGAAACAAAGTATTGCTCATTTAAAAAATACGTATGTGAAGAATTATATCAAAATGGTATATGACTGGTTGCTAAGTAAGTGATATTAGTACTATATTTTACTCCAATGACAATTAGCCTTGAAGCTCCAAATTTACAAAATGCTGCTCTGCCTATAAAACATTTTAAGAAAATTAAACCTATAATTACAAAGGCAAAAATTCAAATTGCATACCATAGCCAAGTTTGAGATATATCTAGATATGTTGTACTATACTCTTTAACTTTGAGCCTTTTATGGCCTTCTGTTATGGATATGTGCTGAATGATGGAATCTTTTGATTATTTTATTTGTCAATTACTGTTGAATGCCAAGCATTCAATATGGAAATAATATCTTTATTGGGGATTTAAATATTTAATCAGATACTTTTTATAATTGCTTCTTAGTCTATCAAAATTATTATAACTTGGCAATTAGAAAAGAAAAAGCAATAAAAGGCATCCATACTGCAAGGGATGAAGTAAAACTATCTCTGTTTGCAGATGACATGATCAAATATATTGAAAATCCTAAAGAATCCACACAAAGAAACTATTAAAGCTAATAAAATGAGTTCAGCAGGGTTGGAGGATACAAGATCAATATACAAAAACCAGTTGGATTTCTACCAGTGAGCAGCCAATCCAAAAATTAAATTAAAAAACAGTTCCATTTATAATGGTGGTTTAGTCACTAAGTTGTGTCCAACTCTTATGATCCCATGGATTATGGCCCGCCAGGCTCCTCTGTCCATGGGATTCTTCAGGAAAGAATACTGGAGTGGCCTTGCTAAAAGCTAACAAGGGGGCACTCTTTCTGTCCCCTTCTGATGTCGTTGTCAGAAGCTTTCTCTATCTCTTTTATAAAACTTTATTATACACACACACACACACACACACACAAAGAATACTGGAGTGGGTTGCCTTTCCTTTTCCAGGGAATCTTTCTGACCCAGGGATCAAATTTAGATCTCCTGCACTTCAGGCAGATTATTTACCACTAAGCTATCAGGGAAGACCATTTAAAATAGCATCAAAAAATAAATAAAAGAATTATAGGGCTTATACACTGAAAATTGAAAAACATCAATGAAACAAATTAAAGGAAAATCCAGTACGTGGAAAGACTTCTATGTTCATGGATTGGAAGACTTAATGTTATTAAAATGGCAGTAGTCCCTATATTGATCTATTAATTACACACAGTCCCTGTCAAAATCTCGACTGCCTTTTTTGCAGAAATTGACAAGCTGATCCTAAAATTCATAAGGAAATGCAAGGGGCCCAGAATAGCCAAAACAATCTTGGTAAAGAAGAACACAGTTGCACGGATTCACCCTTCCTGATTTCAAAATTTAGATTAAAGAAATAGTAAGCTAGATTCTGTGGTACTGGCATAAGATAAACATATAGATCAATGGAATAGGACTGACAGTCCAGAAATAAAACTGTAGTTTTATGGTTAGTGGGTTTCCAGTAAGGGTGTCAAACAAATAGAGGGGGGAAAAAAGGCTTTTCAAAAACATGCTGCTGAGGCAGATGGATATTCACATGCAATGGAATGAAGTTAGATCACTAGCTCACACCATACACACAATTAACTCAAAATGAATCAAAGACCTGAATATTAGCACTAAAACTATGAAACTTCCAAGAGAAAATACAGCTGTATATCTTTGTGACTTTGGATTAGGCAATGGTTTCTTAGATACGATACTGAAAGCACAAGCAACCAAAGAAAAACTAGATAAATTGGATTCCATGAAAACTACAATCTTATGCTTTGACATTTCAAGAAAGTGAAAAGACGATCCACAGAATGGGAGAATATATTTGCAAATTCAGAAAAAATATAGAACTCTCAAAACTCGATGGATCGTGAACAGGATCCTACTTACCGCACAGGGAACTCTTGCTCAGGGTTATGTGGCAGCCTGGATAGGAAAGGGAGTTTGGGGGAGAATGGATACATGCATAGGTGTGGCTAAGTCCCTTTGATGTCCACCTGAAACTACCACAACATTGTTAACAGGTCATACTCCAATGTAAAATAAAACATTAAAAAAAAGTGAAATCTGAAAAAAAAAACTGAAAAGACAAGTAACCAATTTTAAAATGAGCAGTGTTTGAACAGACATTTGTCCAAAGAAAATATACAAATGGCCAGTAAACACATGAAATATGCTCAACATCATTAGTCATCAGGGAAATGCAAATCAAAACCACAGTGAGATACCACTTCACACCCATTAGGATGGCTATAATAATAATAATAATAATAATAATAAAAACAGGCAATAGCAAGTGTTGGCAAGGATGTGGAGAAATTGAAACTCTCATGCATTGCTGGTGGGAATATAAAATGGTGCAGCTGTATTAAAAACAGTTTGGCAGTTCTTCAAAAAATTAAACATAGAGTTACCGTATCCAGCGTTTCTACTCTCAGGATTTACCCAAGGGGAATAAAAAACATATGTATACACAAAGACATATAGACAAATGTTCACAGCATCATTACTCATGGTAGGCAAAAGGTGGAAACAATCCAGTGTCCATCAACTGATAAATATATAAACAAAATATGGCCAGTCCATACAAGGTAATATTATTTGGCCATATAAAGAGATGAAATACCAATTCATACTACAACACTGATGAACTTTAAAAACATTATGCTCAGTGAAAGAAGCCAGACACAAAAGGCCACGTGTCCTATCATTCCATTTACATGAGATTTTCAGAAAGCTATAGGGAAAACCATAGAGACAGAGAGTAGATAGTTTCAGTGAATCAATGAGGTAAATGGAAGTAAATTAATGAGGTAAATGGAAGTGATTGCTAATGGGTATGGAGTTTCTTTGGGGAGTTTCTTTTCCAGTGCTCTGGAATTAAGTAGTGGTACTGGTTCATAACTCTGTGAATATACTGAAACTCATTGAATTGTACACGTTAAAGGGTGAATTTTATTGCTTTTAAATTATTTCTTGATTTTTGAAATTGCTATTATTTCTCCCAAGCACTCTACAGATTATTCTAATAAAATATAACTTGCAAAAGAATATTTTCATTAAAGCACATATTTATATATTTTGCTCTGAAGAAAAAGACAACAGTGACTTCACAATCAATAGTTTAGAGGGCATGAAATTTTACCAGCTTTAAGTATCAGCGTAGATGGAGGAGTCCAACGTTTCTCTCACGTTACGCTGTGAAGAAGAATCCCAGTTCATCGTTTCCATTCTCGTCAGCTTCGTATGGGCCCTTCTCCTTTGTTCTTTCTCTTCAGTTGCTAAGCCGTGTCTGACTCTTTTCGAGTTTGATCAAGTGTTTATCATTCTGAAATTGAGGGCAGAACCCTAAGTATTTTAATCCCAAAGCCTCTCACTTGCTGTCTTGTTCTTTCCCAGGTGCTACCTTTCCCAAGCCAGGTGGTGTACAACAGAGTGGGCAAGTGTGGGAGTCGGACCGTCGTCCTGCTTCTGAGAATCTTGTCAGAGAAGCATGGATTCAATTTGGTCACGTCAGACATTCACAACAAAACCAGGCTTACTAAGAACGAGCAAGTAAGTTGTCTTTGCTTCATTGGCACAATTAATGGGTGCCTTCCGGAGCACCCTTTCACCCCTAACGAATGAATACCAGAGTTACAATATCATACTGTATTTTTGCCAGAGTGTGGAAGGAAATTTAAGTTGAGGGTTCTGACAGAAGTCTGTAAACCAGCAAGTTTCCCTGAAGGGATATTTTTATTAAGACCAGTGAAGGATAGAGTACATGGACATTGTCTGTTAGCTAAAATTAGCAATGCTTAAATCTCACATAGTTACACCACTGAGCTATAGGTAACGCTGACATCTTGGGAGTAAAAATAAGAAATCTTGATTTTAATATTTCTTCCTTTGCATTTTCTCACAAATGTCCAAAGTTTTTATGGTTATAATAAAGAGAAAACCCTCGGTGGGCCAGGAATCTGGTTGGTTGTTGGGGGCTCAAGCTTCCTATTACGGGATCTTGAGGTGCCAAAACAGCTCTTGGCCTATTCAGTGGTAACAAAACAATTACCCCACCTCCTGGGAAAAAATCTGCCCTAAGACGGCTGACCCATACGAGGGACATGCTGGTGGTCGAGCAGGAGTGCTAGGTTCTGCCAGGAAGCTGGGAAGACAGATACCACTTGGTAAGTTGACACCAGAATAGGGTTGATAGTCTCCATTGAGATGCTTTGCCAGTGTAGACAAGTTAGGCCTAGTGCTCTCATAGTCATTTTACAGGGTCAAGTTTGTTAGCTTGGTCTCAAAAAGTTGCTTTGGTCCTCTTCGGTATTTAGAATGAGTGAATAGCCACCAGTATAAGTCACGGCAGGCTTTCCTGGTGGCTCAATAGTAAAGAATCTGCCTGCAATGCAGGAGACCTGGGTTCGATCCCTGGAGAATCTCCCTGGACAGAGGTGCCTGGTGGGCTGCAGTCCATTGGGTCCCACAGAGTCGGACACGACTGAAGCGACCAAACAGCAGCAGCAATATAAGTCAGGGCTCTTCAGAGAACAGTACCAGTAGGATGGAGATGTATCTAGCAAAAGATAGACAGATATCCATGGATAGATGGACAGACAGACAGGAAAGATGTGCTATGAGGAACTGGCATATGCAATTATTGAGGCTGAGAAGTCCCACGCTCTGCCGTCTGCAAGTTGAAGGCCCAGCAAAGCCATTGGTAAAACTGAGCTCGAGCCCGAGGGTGAAGGCCTGAGAAGCAGGTGAACCCATGATGTAAATCCCATGATGTAAGGGCAGGAGAATATAATATGAGATGTCTCAGCTTAGTCCATGAAGCAGGGAAAAAAATCACTTCCTCCTCCTTCTCATTTTGTTCTACTCAGGCTTTCAAGGGATTGGATGAGGCCCACCCACACTGGGGAGGGAAATCTACTGAGTCCACTGATTCAAATGCTTATCTCATCCAGAAACACCCTCACAGACACACCAGGAAATATTGCTTAATCTGGGCATCCCTTGGCCAGTCACATTGACACATGAAATTTAACCAGCACACCACTCAGTGACTAGGTAAATTTGGGGAATAAACAAGGTGCATGGTTTACTAGGGTGAGACCCTGATACCATGTCTACTTTTTTACACGATCTTCACCTTCCAGGCATTCAAAACCTCACACACACACAGGGAATATGCAATAGCCTTCCTGTCTCTCTTGTCACAGGGAATGGCAGGACTGTTTTGAGAGTGTAATGCTGCCAGCAGTACTTTCTATAATGTCTGTATGTTTACTGTCTTCCACAGTATAGAGATCAAAATGCCCATTTCTTTGAAAACTTCCATCAAAGGGTCTCTGAGTAACAAGTCTAAATAGTCATAAGCAATAAGCAAAAAAAGTGTTGAGATTAGATAGCTCAGTTGGTAAAGAATCTGCCTGCAAGGCAGGAGACCCCAGTTTGATTCCTGGGTCAGGAAGATCTGCTGGAGAAGGGATAAGCTACCCACTCCAGTATTCTTGGGCTTCCCTTGTGACTCAGCTGGTAAAAAAATCTGCCTGCAATGTGAGCAACCTGGGTTCGATCCCTAGGTTGGGAAGATCTCCTGGAGAAAAGAACGGCTACCCACTCCAGTATCCTAGCCTGGAGAATCCCATGTGCTATAGAGTCCATGGGGTCACAAAGAGTCAGACATGACTGAGTAACTTTCACTTTCACTTTTTCACTTACAAATTCTGTAATAGGTGCTCAATAGAAAAATTATATTTGGTGACATTTTAAGATATCACATTTTATCAGTAATTTTCATGGGGTAGGTTCTCTGATTTCCTTATCTGGTTGAAGAACAAATATAATTAGGGCTGGTTATGCCCTTTTTACTCCCTGAAAGAGAGCAACTATAATAAATAGCCTATTCTATTGCAATGTTATTACAAATATAAAATTTGGTTTTCTTTTGAGTCTTTCAGTCAGCTATCAGATTAGACTTAAATGTTCCTATGTATGGAAATTATGCCCAGTTCTTAAAGCCTAACAAAGTATAGTATCTGAACTTTAGTTCCCACTGCAGAAAAGTATAAAATCCCAGAGGGAGCAAAGTAATGAGAATATTAGACCCTAAGATGTTCAGGAAGGCCCTAGAAAAACAAGCATAAAATAAGATTTTGAATACACTCTTGAATTTTAAACAAATCAACCTACTTTGTTTTCTATGATGAACTGTAAAGGGAAGGACTTAGATGAAAAATGAAGAAAACTTTACTAATGGTACACAAATTGTTAAGTCTTTTAGAAAGGGTTAAATCCAAAGTCATCCTTTCCTCTAAAACAGAGGTTAGTTCTCATCTGTTTGGAATGATTGGCTTGTCTGAAAGCCAGGGAATAGACAATCTTTTAAAGTTCTTTCCAGCCCTGTGATTCTGTGATATATTTATACAACTTCTGCCATGATCTGTGTATGATTAGTTGAAACATTTCTGATTCCTGTGGTCAGTGTGACCTAGAATATACTTCATTACTTAGTTATTGCAGATTCCTATTAAATTATAAGGCAAGTTTTAAAAAAAACAGAAGGGAAAGGTATAGATACAGTAGAAAAAGCAAACAAACAATTTTGATGTAAAAACAAGCATAAGAATAGTGACAGTTGCTTCTCCGTAGCTAGCTGACTGGGCTGTGGCATACAAGGAGAGCCAGGAAACGCCAGGACAAGAAACCAAGTTTGAAGTAGTTCAAAGAAGACTTGAAACCAAGTCTCAAGAATGTTTAAAGAAACTCTTTTTCTTTGTTACAAGCATCTTTTTTCTAAAAATTCAAAGTGCATGAAACAAGTAGAGAAAAAAATTTTATTTTAACCTAATATATTCAAGAAATAATCTGTGGTGTGAATAGCTCCCTTTTCTTGGTAATTTATTAAAGGAAAGGGGGGTATGTGATTTAGGAGATGAGTTAAAATTTTATAGTCAGTGGTTCTTAACATGAAAGAGTAGAACTCTGAAAATGTAGTTCCCATGGCAACATTGTTCTCTGGAGTTAATGACAAGTCTACTTTGGTGCAGCGCGAGTTAAATGGACTCTTGTGGGCTGGCCCGGGACTCTCTCCACCATGTCGAACATTTCTTTTATGAGAAAATGTGTTCCAAGTTCCAAACTACTGACTTACAAATGAACTTTGGAAAAGTTACCACTTATGAGACTGGAGACTGGAATCATCTGTATCATTGCATCCATACACAATGGCATCTCTCTTGGGCTAGAGTCAAATTCACGCATACATTTCTCCCTGGAGGGTAGCTGTCATCTCACACATACACACATGCACACACATGTACACACACAAACCCATTGAGTACTAGATTTTAAAAAATCTATTTCATGGAATAAGACACTGAAGGGATTATTAAAAAGGAAAGAGAACATGAAAACAGCAAATGTTACAACATCAATAAAAATCCCATTACATCTGCCCTTATAAGAAATAGAAATGCCTTTGAAGTTAATATTTTAGAAAACTCTGCCTCCACAGAAGAACATGGACAGCTGGTGCTGGCCAAATGTTGGACCTTTTGCAGGGCATATAATGGGAACTCAGGATGACATCATTTGATTTATGCTCTAAAACCAGATTTAAATCACTTGGGCTAGTTTAGATACTTTTTTGGAAAATGGAGATCATGTACAACCTAAAAGATAAAGAACCATTTTCCAGAAGGCAGGAGGTGTGATTTTCAAAAGGCTCATAACCATCTTTGTTAATGGTCTGACCCTATCTTTCAGAATGCTGCTCTGAGGATAATAAAAGTCAATATGTCAGAGGCATATCACAGACATAAGAATATAAAATGATTTCATTCCTGTTGGAGAAGGGCAAAAACTGTTGGCATATGAACCTAAAAGATGGAGAAAGCAAATACATTTCCTATTTTTATTTATACTGAAGCTATGTGTATGTTTAATCACTTTGGTCATGTCTGACTCTTTGCCACCCCATGGACTGTAGCCCCCAGTCTCCTCTGTCCATGGGATTCTCCAGGTGAGAATACTGGAGAGGATGGCCATTTCCTCCTCCAGGGGATCTTCCTGACCCAGGGAATGAACCTCTACGTCTCCCGCGTCTCCCTCCCGCGTCTCCTGCTTTGCAGGTGGATTCTTTACCACTAGGTCACCAGGGAAGTCTGTGCTGAAGCTATGGAGGATTCCAAACTGAAATAGCGGCACCTGTTCTGTGCTAATTGTTTTACTTTATTATTTCATTTAACTCGTTTGGACCTAAAACTAGACCAGTGAGTGGGTACGATTTCCTATTTTATGGATGAGAAAACTAAGACAACCAGATAAAGTCACTTCCCAAATATAATAGTGACTGTCCGTGGCTCTTCGGCTTGGACTTGGACCCTCCTGAACTCAGGAGCCACCCTCCTAATGCAGTGGCTATCTGCTCTGGCTGCACAGAAGGGTCTTTTTAAAACAAACAAACAAAAATGTTTATTTTTTGTATATATTTTTGTCTGTGCTGGGTCTTCCTTGCTGAGGACTTTTCTTTAGTTTTGGCAAGGGCTATTCTCTAGCTGTGG